GGTCCCTAACTTATATTCATACATATACATACTAGGGCCAATTTAGACAGGAGCCAATTAACCTACCAGAATGTCTTTAGAGTGTGGGAGAGGAAACTCACGCAGGCACAGGGAGAACATGCAAACTCCAGGCAGGCGATGCCATGGCTGGGATTTGAACCAACGACCCTAGTGCTGCCAGGCAGCAGTGCTAACCATTTAGCCACTGTGCTGCCCAAATACATTACATTCTTCAGAATTTTTATTCTGCTGTTAAAGAATTTTCGTAACTTTAGTAACCTCTTCACTTTTGATATGAGACTAGCATGCAGAAAAAAACAGACAATCATTCGTCCAATGTTCTGATTGTGTATACGGGGCTTATGAGTGGGTGTCATCTAAACTGTTTGAAATGCTTTAGCTCAGAAAAGATAGCCAAAGAGCTCAAAAGGCCTCTGCATGCAGAGTCAGCTTATAGCATTTACTAAACACTTCTATACCCTTTGGCAGTTGGCAGTTGGCAGTAGGCCATGTTATGTGTACATTTCCAGCATGATCATTATCCTGACTGAGGAGTAGCCACAACATCAAGAGATTTTTCAAGCATATTCATAGCCAAAACTTTGCTTCTACTTTTAGAAAGACTAAGAAATAGTTTTGAACCCTTGTTAGTATATTTTTTGCTATCTTTGTACCATTGGAGCAATTTTTCCTTCACTACCTGTCCCAGAGACACAACAAGAAGTGAGAAGAAATCTCTACAACATGAAGGGAACTCCCTTCTTAGCCTGTTGTCACTGGAACAAAGGTACCCATCAAAAGATTTAGACTGGTCATTCACAGGCTTAAGACAAAAATAATGAATTTCCCTATTGAGCATGGATCAAAAAAATCTCTATTACTGATTATGGTATTTAGACGGCACCTGTTGTGTCCTGACCTTATCCCTAGGTTCACATCTGTGCAGGTGGTGCAGCTGTGGATCTGCACAAAAATCCGTGCAGCCGCACCACCCGCACAGAGAAATGCAGACCCGCGAGCGGGTGCCATTAGTTCTAATGACACGCCGCCCGCACTGGAAAACGCAACCGTACTGGGAACCGAGGTTCCTGCGCTTGCTGCGTTTTCCAAAGAAGTGCAGTTCTTCCCTGCGTGTCAAGGTCACGGGAGTCCATTCAAATGAATGGGCTCTCGTGCCGTGCAAAACACGGCCCGCATGGCCGCATATATGTGAACCGGGGCTATAAGAATTTCAGATGCAGTCACTATGCATCTGACAATCCTCCACCTGGCTCAGGTTTTTTTTCTGCTAAGAGCGCTGGTGTTTTTTAAGCTAGTATGCATGAACCCTAACATTTTGGATTTTCCATCACTTTCTGTCTCAGGGACAATGGTCACCAGGCTAAACAAAGAGAGTGGAATTGCATGCAGCAATAAAAGCTTGACAAGGGATGTAATCCATGCCCACTCAAACCAAAACTGACCAAAAAAAATAAAATTTTGAGCTATATGTACATATGAATTCAGTGTACTAGAAGCTGATCATGCTATGTCCCATATACAATATTAAGTGATAATCACTAGCAATTTATTCTGAACCTATAAGAAACTGCATAAAGTTTAAGCCAGTATCAAGGCCTCACTCCTTTGCTTACTAATATAAAACATTCAACTTGGCAAAAGCTTTAGATCTCCCACTACAAAATGGTATCATAACTAATATAAACTGTTTATTTTAATAGTCAACAGAGCATTATGCAAGTAATGATCCACATTGCAAAATATAAATGTATGTTTATTGCAATGGCCATTAAAAACAAAGTTAAAGTTTACAGCAGATCTAAACCCAGAACAAATATCTAATATATTGCAGTTTACCAGTCCTTAGATGTGGTGGCTGCATTAGGTTTCTGTTTTCCCCGTTATTTTCACCAGGTGATGCTGTGAATAACACACTTTTTGTACTCCATTGTGTCTATGGAGGGAGCCATGGTTGTTATCAATGTTGGATTGTAAGTTCCAACAAATTCTCTTTTTTTTTTGTGGGGGGGGTGGGGGGGTAGTTATGCTTTAATAACTTGATATAGCTCTGATCACATGAACATCATGTGATTTCAGATACACAAGGCATCTACTGCCATGTAGCAAGTTTTAAATAACAGCTACAGGAATATTGCATTCCAGCACAACTGCAGGCACTTTCAAAAATATTTCCTGGACTGCTCTTTATTAAATGACTTGGGTGACCTCTTCACACCAAAGACTTGCATGTTTCCATTTACTAATGAATTGACCGTTCCCATTGTTTGATACCATGACTCATGCTTCCACTCCCATTTCATGAAACTCCCAATACAGCTGGGTGAGCTCTAGCAAAAGCATGTCTATGTTGTATTTTAATACAAATCAAAAACAGCAGAAAACAGGGTTGGTTTGATACAAAACACTAAAACATTAGCCATGCCAGTAGAAACAAACAAGCCTAAATAATCATAAAATATATTATACACAAATACCAGAGTTGCCTGACTACCAGTCCAGACCTGTTTAAAGCTAACGTCATATAAATACAAACTTTACAGAGTCCAGTATTTAATGTTACTAGTTAACTGGAAGACAACAGTAAAATCCCTACATGAGAAGTATACTTTATGATGGATCAAAGAGCTTAAAGGTTTTCCCTAGAATACACTAATCTTCCACTAAGCATTGATATTGTAAAGGAGATACCTGGGTTACAGACTGATAGTAAGACTAAAACATTTCACAGAAAATATATGCCAAGTACATATCTATGCAAAGCAAAGGTCATGCATGGGAGTTTAAAGATGAACTTTAATCTACTTATATTTTGACTTCCCTGGCTCCTTCTGCTTCCCCCTATCAGCATGATACCGACATTTTTAGGTAAAGCCTTTCCATTTTCATCACATGCCTTATATTAGACCTCATCCCTGAGACTCTGTGGTGGAGATATACTAAAACTGGTGCACACAGAATCTGGTGCAGCTGTGCATAGTAGCCAATCAGATTCTAACTTCAGCTTGTTCATTTCCACTTTTCATAATAAAACCTGGAAGATGATTGGTTTCTATGCAGAACTGCATTAGATTTTGCATGCTCTAGTTTTAGTAAATCTCTCCCCCCCCCATGTCTCTCTAGGCAGAGCAGGCAGTTCCTGGCTGGTAGGAGAAGCTCACAGTGTGCAGTGATATCAGAATAAGCCATTTCAGTACAAGAGATAAGCCTATATAACTGTGCAAAATGGAAGGTAATGCTGGAGTTCAGCTTTAAGTTTGAGACTTACAAGAAAGCTAAAGTCAAGGTGATGGAAAATGTCCATGGTTCTCTGGGAGATGACATGCTCAAAGTTTACAGTGGGTAAATTATCACTATCTCATAGCTGAATCTGACAAATTAAGTTATTATTGGATTTATATTGTGCAAACAGTTTGCGCAGCGCTTTACAAAATGAAGGCAGACATTACAGTTACAATACAATTTGCTACAAAGGGAATCAGAGAGCCCTGCTCGTTAGATCTAAGTTAAGGGACATACCGCATGAATGTATTAGAGCTGGTTCACACCAGAAGTTAGTGTGTGCTGGTGTAGTACATAGTGCCGGTGCATTGATTACAGTGCATCCCATTGATTACTTTTTTTGTTTACTTTATTGAAAAGTTACAAAATGACATGTGGTGTAGTGCATTGCAACAAGTCCACCACAGCTTCCTTTCCAAACCACTCATGGCCAAGACTGCATGCTTGCTTCCACCATGTACAATGTGGAGTTAATGCATGATGATGCCAAGAGACCGTACACAAATGGAAGCTTCTGGGAACAGAGGGCAGCTCCGGTGGAGGATAGGGTAAGTAATAGACATAATGAGCATTTAACCCTTTCAGTGGAAGCACAGTTGGTCCTGGAGTTGGACTTTAAAGTAACTGGATTTTTTAATACCACACTAAAAACAAAAGTGTTTTTGTAACGCTTGGCTACCAATCAGAATTGAACATTAATCAGCCTGCCTTTTGATGAACTGTGGCTCTTTCTCTGCAGAAATACACCAGTGCTCTTTGCTTTGTGTCATTACTAAAGCTATAAACCAGTAAAACAATCCCTTCTCTAGAACTGGTATATGTAACACAAAGCCCAGTAGAAAAAAAAAATGATGCAACAAAACGGGAGTGACCTGTTCATTAAGTGCAAATTCACACATAGACTAAATCTGGCAACTGGTTATTGTTTATAGAAAGTCTTTCCATGAAGCCAAGGCATTTTTATTCAGTTGGTAATACTACTCCATCCTGCTACACTAAATTGGTTTCCAGGCTATTGGCAATCATCCTATAGGAAAATGTTACATAAGCTGTTGTCAGCCATTGAACAAGTTCATAATTTCGGGATAAAAGAAAGCTATTCATATTTCAGAGTCCTATTGGGGAAATTATTATTTAGTTACTGTTTTCTAGATATGCAGTGAGTGAGGGAATTCCCTCTTAGTGTATTAATTTATTACAGTTATTTATTTAGTGCCTTAGGGTCTTTAGGGTCATCAGTTCAAATCCCAACTATGACATTACCTGTATGAAGTTTGCATGTTCTCCTTGTGCCTGCGTAGGTTTCCTCCCACACTCTAAAGCCATGCTGGTAGCTTAATTGGCTCCTGTCTAAACTGGCCCTAGTATGTGTGTATACACAAGAGACAGGCACCTTAGATTGTAAGCTCCTTGATGACAGGTTATAGAGATAGGATATCCGACACAGGGTGATTGCTGTGAGGATATATACAACGCTCCCAAATGCCACCTCTTATTCAAACTATTGGAAAGGAAAAGGGGCCATTCATTCACCAATATCATTGGTCAATATAAAATGCTGTTTATAAATCTATACCATTCTCTTCATGTAGAAATTTGTTTACAACTCCTGAAGAAGCAATATTATCGTGAACAGGGGCGGACTGACAACTCATGGGGCCCCCGGGCAATAGGGGATCATGAGGCCCCTGTGTCCTTACCCAAACTCAAAAAAGCCTATGAAAAAGGTACCAGGGGCATCTCATGGGGCCCCCTACTGACCCCAGGCCCTCGGGCAGTGCCCGAGTTTCCAAATGGTCAGTCCGCCCCTGATCGCGAAACATGTTGAGTTACTACAGCCATTGATATCAGAATATCTGTTTTCAAGCTTTACTTTTATTGTGGAATTTATCAATACCATATGTACTTATACGATTTGCATCTGCATTGAGTGTACAATTCCAATCATTCTGGGAGTACATTCTCTGTAGAAGATTTTAATAATTGTTGTACGTCTATGTATGTTCAATAAAGCAATCATTTTACTTATTACTTTTGTAGTGCCTATGAAGTCCACGAATGACCCCTTTTCCATTCCTTGAGGACAGGGACTGATGTGAATGTACAATATGTACACATAAGGCCTTTTTCCACAGCTGTCCTCTTTGAACATATTCACTACTTAGCACATATGGCACTTTTGCAACATCTGTGTCTGTCCCAATCTATTCTCCATCTTGTGATGTAGGAAAATGGACCCTTGCAATCTCTGTGCAGGCAGATGTGCATACATTTGCATCAGTGTTCATCCAATCGATCCTGTTCAGGTCTACAAAAACTGAAAAAAATGCAAACTTTTTCCATTTGTTTTGCAGCCTTAAAAAGGCTCTTATGTAGGCAGATGCACATGGGCACTTATGTATGTGAGATAGGGGCCTTATATTGCAAGGGAATGATGTGAACATACAATATTCGTAAAGGGCTGTATCAATTTTCAGCTCTATTTGAATACCTGGGCAAATTAAGTAAACTTTCCAGCACAGCATTGTAGGACCTGTAGTTCACTAGACAATGAGGAAACCCTACTCTGCTAGCCCTTCTATCTCTCAAGGAAGCTCTTCTTGACAATTTTCCAGTTCACTCCATTTATCTTTTACAAGGATACAAATAGGACTTAAGACTTTGATAACTGATAATGTCTTTGGCCTCTGCTAAACAAGTTTATGAAGTTTAACTCATTGCTCACACAAGGTCACTGACCAGATGTGGGCCAGGAGATGTTATTGGCCATTACAGACCGGAGGTGAAGTGTACCTCTCACCTCTGCCACATTCCAGCTTTGATGACAAACCCTGGCAAAGTTGTATTGGAAACCTTTAATCCTACCCTACTTCAAAGTTATTTTGCTTTAATACTTGTACCGAGTATTACAGGAATCATGTAACCGCTCTCCAGTGAGGTCAATACATTCAAAGTGCATGCATTTCGCTCCTGGATTTGGAGTCTGTAAGGAAGTACAAGGGAATGTTTGCCTAATATGGTTTGAATGTTATCACCTAAAAATGTAAATAAAATACAGGAAAGCTGTAGATATGTGAAATGCTTGTTTATTTAAGGAAATACCTGTTTTATGAGGTGCCCTTGACGGAACTTCGTTTCACAGTACTAGCAGACGGTGTTGTCATCTCCATATTGACAGATATTACAGTAAACGCACTAAATCAATGCCACTGCAAGACGTCTGCAGTTTATAAATGGAGACAATGTATTTCCAATTTTGCAGTTAAGAGTTGTGAAACCCTTACTAATATTTGTTATGTGTTCCTATTCACACAGCATACCTAAAAATGGTTTTAAAAAAAAAATATGCCGTACCTTTCTAACTGTTCAGTTGGTGCAGGATTATACATAGTACTAAGTTTAAATTGTTTAAATTTCACCTGGTTCCTCATAAGCTGTCCGAAATTTGCTACTTGGGTGGCCCTGCCACCGGCCTCCCACTATCCTGCGATCGAAAAATCAAAGGAGCCGGGCAGACAATTGCCAGGCAAACAGTGCCTGTATCCAATCAGCTGCAGTCTCTGTTCAAGCATTCTGGCAGTCGCTGGTGCCAACTCTCTATAATAGCTACAGCGGGAGATTTGTCCAAATGTGCTGCATAGCATGGCTGGAGGAATCTGTTAAATATTTTTTTTGTTCAGACAGCAGACTGATTGGCCAGCTTGAATATGCGATTAGGGGACTTAAGCTGGCCATAGATGGATCAAATTCGATCAATCTACGGGGAGGCTGATTGTATCCAAATCGATCCACTGATCGATTTAGGTACAACCATCATATTGAATTTTTAGCATGTGATTATTGCCAGCAGCTATAGCTGCTAGCAGTAACTATTGTGTTCCCCTGGGAAGGAAAGCTAAAGGTTTCCCCCCTCCCGGCCAGGAGAACACAATCCATGAATCAACTTCAGTACAACCAGCCTGTTGAGTTTTTTTGGTGTGATCACTGCCCATAGCTATAGCTGCCAGCAGTGATCATTGTATTCTGATGGTGGGGAAACCTCCTGGTGTCAGAATACAATAGCACAGTGGGAGGGATTCCCCCATGAACATTGACTGTGACCCTGCCTAAAGTTTGACCATAGATTATGCAATCTTCTTTCCTTCATCCAGTTTGAATGAAAGAGCATCACTTGATTCCCCCATCAACACAGTCAGTGTTCATGGGGGAATCCCTCCCACTGCCCTATTGTACTCTGACAGTGGGAGGTTTCCCCACCATCAGAATACAATAATCATTGCTGGTGGCTATAGTATCTAGTTTGCAACTGATAATGAGATCTGCCGGCATAGTACAGACAGGGTTAATAAAGACAAACATAACTCCCCCAGTCCCTTACACAGAAGGGGAAAGCTATGTAGGATTTTAAACAACTGAAAAGGTAAACAGCAATTTCTAAATATTTTTAAATGTGTTATGAGAAAGGAAACATGTAACAAATATAAAGTATGTGTTATTCCACATTGGCTGTAAAAGTGGAAACACTGCAAAGGGATCATTTACATTGTAGCTTTACAGTACTGCTTTCCATGATATATAATGTTAACACTGCAAGCAGGAGAGGTGGCTAACATGTATACATTTTATATAACTATGTATATAATAATAAACTAGGAATACAGAATTTAAAGTAACTTGTAGCTTTGCAATGGCCCTTCCTACAAATACATGATTTTGCCTAGAGTATAGAATAATGTTAACGGGAGAAGAAGAAAGTATTGTTTTATATTTCCTGAGTGTTCTATGTGTGATCTGTGTGTTTAAATGTATTACCTACAATGCAATGGAGTTTATTGTATTTATTCATGCATGGAACTGAATCCATGTGCAGTGTAGGTCAACATCTTGCTTACAGATGCAAATACTGTTAACCATGTGCATTATGTCAAATGTAATGTCTTTCTGAATTAATCCATTATCGTATTCCCAGTACAGAGATCCATCTGTTGTAAATCTATAAGGAAACGGCATAGCGATCCAAGGTGCTGAGCTACATATACATTGAACTGGACTTCCAAGTTAGTACTGGGCCTGTCCAGCTGTGTCCCACAGCAGCTACATGATCTAATGACTGTAGCTATGTCCTTGTAACAAAACCTATACAGGAAATGTATGCATCTGCCATTTCTGGCCTCAGCTTTTAAAATGCTATTTGCCTGACATCCACACTGGTCCAACAGCTTCAATACTGTCCTGATATAAATAATTAGTAAACAGGTCAGGAGCTCAGACTTCACTTGCTGCATATGTGATTAGAGCCAATGACCGAGAAAGTATTGATGGAAGAGACAGCCATGCAATTAGCATTTTCAGAAGGTGTTGTATTTCTGTTTGAGATATCGAAAAACAAGACAAACTGCAGTGACAGATTACAATGATATCCAGAGAGCAAACTCCTCTGTGGGTAAGGATTTGCTCTTTGAGATATCTGTGCATGGCTGCACCCACTGTCATTCAGTCCCAGTCCTGTCCAATGACCAGCATGCACCATGACATTTTACTTTTTATGAATGCAATATAGTCATATCAGCAGGGAAGGTTCATGCAGTAGAAACTCCCTGGAAGTTAGAATCGATTGACCTCTGGCTGTGAATTCACACAATCTTAACATTCCAGAAAACTACTGTCATAATTACTGGGAGATACAGAGAGGGCCACAAGGCAAATGCAACTTGCTGACATTTTCAAGTGGCGTCTTATCCCAAAATGCATTATGCATTGGAGGCTGCAGGGCTCACACTGATCATGGGACCTGGCCAGGGTGCACTGCAAGCCCTCAAATTATTAAAGCCTATAGCACTGATGCCGCTGGGCACAGTGGAAACCAACAACCTAAAGCCTGTTTTGCAAGTAGGATCTCCAGTAGGAAGAAAGCCAAATATCTCTCAAAAGCACAATAGCATAATGCAAAAAGCAACAAGTCAATTCTTCCTCAGGAAGGAGAAAAGAATCCCTAGTGTGATTTCCCCTACCCCTAGCATTCTGCATTCTGTGCCAGCAATCCTAAGCACCCAGTGCTCTACGCCAGCTCTGCTCCAGGCTGGTACCAATGCTATTGTGTACTCTATGCCACCTCTGCCACAGGGTGGCACCAATCCTATGTACCATGTACTCTATGTCACTTCTGCCCCAGGATGGCACCAATCCTATGCACAGTGTACTCTATGTCACGTATGCCCCAGGATGGCACCAATCCTATGCACTGTGTACTCTATGTCACGTATGCCCCAGGATGGCACCAATCCTATGCACCGTGTACTCTATGTCACTTCTGCCCAGGATGGCACCAATCCTATGCACAGTGTACTTTATGTCACGTATGCCCCAGGATGGCACCAATCCTATGCACAGTGTACTCTATGTCACGTATGCCCCAGGATGGCACCAGTCCTATGCACTGTGTACTCTATGTCACGTATGCCCCAGGATGGCACCAATCCTATGCACCGTGTACTCTCTGTCACTTATGCCCCAGGATGGCACCAATCCTATGCACTGTGTATTCTATGTCACTTATGCCCCAGGATGGCACCAATCCTATGCACCGTGTACTCTCTGTCACTTATGCCCCAGGATGGCACCAATCCTATGCACCGTGTACTCTCTGTCACTTATGCCCCAGGATGGCACCAATCCTATGCACAGTGTACTCTATGTCACGTATGCCCCAGGATGGCACCAATCCTATGCACCGTGTACTCTATGTCACGTATGCCCCAGGATGGCACCAATCCTATGCACCGTGTACTGTAGGTCACTTCTTCCCCAGGATGGCACCAATCCTTTGCACAGTGTACTCTATGTCACCATATACTCTATATCACGTATGCCCCAGGATGGCACCAATCCTATGCACCGTGTACTGTATGTCACTTATGCCCCAGAATGGCACCAATCCTATGTACCGTGTACTCTATG